TGAACATTGCCTGCAAGTTCCTGGTGCTGATTACTTCTGAAGTCAGCATTTGAGGCTAGATAAAGATTTGTTCGTCTCAGATAAGCTTACATTTTCAAGATGCTATCAAAATACTGAAAAAATTAATAGCAGAACCTCGCTATTATTTGCAGAGGGCTTCAATTTTGAAGGAACTTTGAAGGAAGTGTATATTTGATGGTGCTCAATAACGTTATAGTTTCTGTGATCAGCTTCAGGTAGTGTTTGTGTGTGTGCCCTGCTCCTTTTGGTGCATGCTCAACTGATGTAAAATTATGTAACTGACCCAGCAGACTATGTTTAGAAATATTCCTGTTCATGTTTGAATGTATCTGTCCCCCATGCAGAGGAGTAAGGCAGCAACTGCATTCTGTGTGTGTGCGTGTGCGCACGCGTGCATATATATACAGACATATGTAAATAAAGTCTAAGCTTGTAAATCTCTCTTTTTCTTGAACATAGCTTTGAAGTATTAATTCTGTGAGCCATACTGTCATTTTTTTTTGTAATGCAAGGAAAAAGTGAATACTCTTACAAAATATTTTTGCCCCTCTTTTTCAAGGTTCCTTTTTTTTTCTGCTTAGTAGGAATTTTATCATAATTTCATGCTCCCACACTTCATGGTTTGTTACTTGGTCTATTACTCTCACATTTAACTTGATAAGGTCCTGCTTCCTGTGATACTCATTTCTGAGTTTTGATTCCTCACAGCTGCTGCTTTGAAGTCTTAGATAACATTCTAGGGATTGGACATTGCTCCTGGTTTTAAACTTTCCATTCAGCCACAGTGCATAGCTCTGTTTCTCCTAAATAACTTTTCAGTGAATTGTTATATTTTAATATTCTAAAATGAATGATTTGCTTTTAATCAGGGCAAAACTCTGGACTCTCTTTTAAAAGAAGCTAATAAGTTCCGTTAAAGCGTTTCATGATTTATCCTCATCTTCTTTATTCCTTCCCTCAAAGGAATTTAAGTATGTTACTCAGTTTAGGATGAAGATGAATCATTGTATAATTCATACATGTGTGCGAGGAGGAATCGATGCTTATACTTGTCTTTGTGCCCTCTCTTTTTGAGCACCATTTTCTATTGAATCTTATCTGACCAGGACCAGTAAATGCAGCTGTGAACAACCTCCTTTGGATAACATAAAGTGCACTGGAGTCATAAGCATGCACGTTCTTGAAAACTAGTTGGAAAGAGGCAGATATAACCAGTAATTTTTGTCTTCACTTTCCCTCTTAAACATGCACAGAGATCACATGAATCTGGTCAAGATCAGGTACTAGCTTTTCCATACCAACTTTTAGATCTATTCTTAAATGCCAAAAATACCTAGTCTGAGGTTTGTAAATTTTCTTAAATGGAGAAAAAATGAGCAAGGCCTCATCATGGGAATGGAGGTTAGTGTTTTTTTGAATGCAGAGCAGTAGGAATGTGTGAGTGGAGAGCTGGGGCAGCTGTGGCTGGCAGTACCGCAGAGGTACTCACTGCTGCCTCTTGTTCTTTGTTCTTATTCCTTCCTGTTTTTCTTACTCCTTAGCCCTTGCTGCGCAGTGTCCAGGGGTTTGTCTAGAGATACCATCACGCAAATTCTTGGCCAGCATATAAGAACACAGATAACGCATACTTACAATTAACACAGGCTTGTAACTCTGTCAGATTTTATGCACTGAGTCATAAATAAATGACAAACTTTTTCTAGCATTTATCTTCCTTCAGTGTCCCTATTTGGGGCAGATTCAAATAATGAAACGGTCCTTATTATGCAGAACTACTTACAGATATTAGCAGTGCCCTTAGGTATAGGGAGATAAGAGCCAGGGCTCCACGGTCGGCCCTGGTAATTTTTCTTGCATTTTCCACAGTCTGGGCCAGTTGTGTTATGCTCACATTCACAAAGCAGTCTTTTGTTTTCTTCTTTACAGCCAGTAGCATGAAGGTTGCACTTACACCTATTAAAAAAAAAGGGAAAAAAAAAGGAGTAGGATATTATTTAGAGCCGAACTTGAGTTTAGATGAAGTCTTAATTGAATATGTTCTGTGGCAATCGCTCTATATCTTGGTGTGTTGGGAGTGTGTAATTATTTTAGCATGTTTTAAAAGACATCAATCAAACAGCAGCTTGCAATATCTTCAACTCTATTCTAAAAGCAGTAATTTCACCAGGACTACAAGGTGCTGAATCTTCTCATTTCTCCACTGACACAGCTCTACTGAGATCATACAAGTTATTCATAACTTTCAGTACAGGCACCTCTATAATCTTGTAAAAATTCCAAAGTTACTCACATCAATAAAAACTAAATCTCTGCTTATGTCCTTAAAAAATGGCCCAAATCAAAATCAAAATTATGCTGAGGAATCCTAGAACATAGATTCAATTAAATATGCTCTAAAATGCTATACTTCAGCAGAGAGGAAAACTGAGAAATATAAGCTCAGTATAGTGGTGTTTTATAAGTCTAACTTCAGGACTGTTCAAAAATATTTTAAAACACTGTGAATAGTTTGCCTAATGTTTTCAGCACAGTTTAATTGTATGGTAAGCTAATAGGAAAGCGTGTCTAAAAGAATCCAATTCATCTGAAGCAAAATGCTTATGTAAAAGATCTGCCTATGTTTGGAAACCTTTTGGTATTTTTTTTTCTTTTTGGTTTTTGTCTTCTGTATGCATAAGATAGTGATATATAGAAATATCTATCTGATCAATAGAAATGTTATTTAAAGAAGAACATCCTGGCAAAATCACATATGAATATAAAATCACTAAAGCCATTTTATTGAGTAAGCACTCTCTTCAGAAAGGACAATTTTTTGCCCACTTTATTCTTATATAACTGTAGCAGTTGTCAGAGAAAAAATAGATAATTTTTAATATATTTGCCCAGCAAAAAACACCTAATCAAACCTTGTGATGCAATTATTAAATAAATC